TTTATCTGATTTTGAATTTATCTTCTATTTCAGATTAGTTCCTAAACATTACCAAAATATTGTGGCCCAGGCATTTGCCATCGAGGAAATCAATAAAAACTCAGAGACATTATCCAATGTCACCCTTGGCTTCAACATCTATGACAGTTACGCCAGTGCACAGAAAACATACCATTCAACAATGTTACTGATTTACAACAGGAAAAACCCTTTTCTCAATTACATCTGTGGTATCCAGAATCATCTGACCTCAGTGATTGGCGGACTAGACTCCAAAACTTCCATTGTCATTGCAAATCTCTTGGATATCTATAAGATCCCACAGGTAAGAAACAGAGCATACCTAATTTTTTAGAACTTTTCTATTTTTTTTGGTAAATTACAGGCAGAAATTGGGATTCTTCTAAATAGCGTTGTGCGTTGTTTCTAAATTAAAATCCCCTTACCTCACTTTCTTTTAAAGAAAGCGACTGGGCAGCGCCAAGAACCTTCCTACCTCTACTGGACTTTGTGGTTGTCTCCGCACTTCCTGGCAAGCATGTGAGCAGGCGAACGAGGGGGGATCAGGCCGCCTAATCCTCCATCGCTCGTTCACTCTTTCACCCAACTGGACCGCCTCGGCGCTGCTGTGGCTACCTTCATCCGTCCATGCCCAGCAGCTGCAGCAACATCATCAAGATGAAGAGCAAGAGGGAAGCCACTTCATCTTGATGATGTTGTCGCAGCTGCCGGGCGCGGACAGACGGAGGTAGCCAGAGCAGTGGTGGGTGAAAGAGCAAGCAAGCAATGGAGGATCAGGAAGCCTGATCCCCCACCTTGCTCACTTGGAAGCGTGAAGAAGAACGCAAAGTCCAGTGGAGGCAGGAAGGTTCTGGGTGCTCTGGGAAGCAGCAAAAGCAACTAGGGAGTGCCAACAAACTTCCTGCCTCTGCTCGACTTCACTGTCTTCTCCGTGCGCTCCTCACGACTGCAATAGACATCCAGAAGTGGTGGGAGCTATCTGATGGAAGCCCAACTTCCATTAGCCCCAAAAGCTGCTTCTGGATGTCTATTGCAGTCGTGAAGAGCGCGCAGAGAATAATGTGAACTCCAGCAGAGGTAGGAAGGTTCTCAGCGCTCCGGAGAACCTTCCTGCCTCTACCAGTTGCCCAGTTGGCATGGTTCTGCACATGCACCTCCTCCTCCCTCCCTCCTCCTCACTCCCCAACGGCTCTTCTAGGGTTTTAGGCCTATCTGTAAACAGATACAAGGTGAATCATACAGTGAGCAGAATGTCTGAGAACTATTTGTGGTTAATGTAGTGTAGCAGTGGTCTAACATATTCTTAACTTAAATTCTTGCCTTAAGTAAGCACTGTTGAAATCTCTTAATACAATGAAAGTGAGTCTGGATATTTTTGTCCAACCCATAGAATATGGTCAGCTAGAGTTTGTTTATGCAAGCTTGTGGTGGACTGTAACTAAAAGCTATAATAAATGAAGAACATTCTTGTGGACAATAAAACAGTTTGCAACTTATAAATCATGTCTCTAAGTCTACATCACAAAATTTCTTTAGTATGATTACATTTTTACACTATAGGTTGTTGATGAGACCCCCACCCTTTATTACCAGATGTTTTTGCATTTCAATCTGCTCTTTGCATCTGAAATCCTGGGATTTGCAAGCAATTATCATTAATCNGGCAAGCAAGGCCAGCTACCAGATCTCTTCAGTGCCATCCCGGATCAGCCACCCCCTCTCTGGCACGGTAGTCTGCTGCGAGTCTAAGTTCAAGGCTTCCCCCAGTCGAGGAGTCAAACAGCGAGGTCGAAGGACGCTGGGGCCATTGAAAACCGCCGGGAAACGGCGCCATCAGCATACCACCATTCCTTTACAACCAGATGGTAGGAGGACTACCGAGGGCGATCGCATAGACTGGGAGCCGCTCGAAAAACGGTGACCCCCCCAACAACCGCCCGCTCGTGTCCCCTGGATCACCCTCTACCGTTGGGGCTCCTTCCCGCATGGATTCTGGCTAGGTGCGGTGGTATTTTTAGTGTCTTTTTCGCCTACCTAGTCGGAGCGTTCTAGGCTGCATCAACAAAAGGATGGAATCAAGATCTTGACTAACAACGATCATCTCTGCTTATATTAGCAATCATATATAACAACTGAATAAGTTTAGACCATGACTTTCTCACACTATATTTCATTTCTTAAAGCAAAAGGTATAACCAAGTCTTATTCAATATTGTTTATCATATAAAATAAATATTAAATAGTTTTTGTTGAATTGAGTTTTATCCAGTGGTTAAGACTTTGGGCTAGAAAGCAGGAAACTATGAGTTCAAGTCCCTCTTTAGCCATAAAATTTGTTTGATGAGTTTGGGCCAGTCACACTTTCTTACCCCAACCCACCTCACAGGGCTGTTGTGGGAAAAATAAGATGAAGAAGATTTTTATGGAATTGCATAGGAGATGAAATTGGCAACTCCTGAGATATTGGAACACTGCTATCATGTCTCCCCTAGTCCTTCTTTTTATTAAATCAGAGACCTTAAGACCTATAATTCATTCATATGATATATAAGCTATGATGCTGTCCAAATATTAGAAACACATTCATGATCATGCAGGACAGCAATGTTAAAGTAGCTTCATACTAGCACAACATGTTCAACAGAACAACAAAATCTTGCCTCTTCTGGAGAATACAAACGTGAGGGAGAATTGTCTTTAGTATTTTTTTTTAATATCAATTTTCAGTGTTTTCTTTTCAAATGAGATAGAAATATTTTTTCTATCAGTCAAAACTTGTTTCCTTCAATTCTATTGGGATCCATAAAGTAATTGCATATCTATTTAATTTTGAAAGAATGGTAATTAGTTTGTTATGTTCAACCAGATACAGAATTTCAGTGTCAAGGATAAAACATGCAGAATATTATAAATATTGCAACTTTTTTCATGTTAGGCAGATTAAAAACAACTACAATTATACAGCATAGTTTGTGGAGGCGTCTTACTCTTTTTCCACCATTTGCTTTATAAATACCTTTTGTTACTAGAATACTAATATCACTGTATCATCAAAGAAGCAAGAAGGATTTAGATTTGGCTTTTCTCCAACAATGATAGCTTTAATAATTGCCTCACTAGCATTATTTAATCTCCTACTTTCTAAGTCACATAATATTAAATGTAGAATTCAAAGACCGCATGATCCATATCATACGTACTATCAGCCAGGTGATGTTACCATGGGTGGCATTGTCACTTTAGCTGTTTTCCTGCAGGCTGTCCTAGAATTCAGCAAAGTCCCACCACCACCATTGCCTGAAGACCTTATGTAAGGATTTTATTGTCTAACTGTATGAACTCCTACTAGATCATAATTCAATTAGTCTACTCTGTTTAATGTTGTATCAAAGCATTGGAGATTTGTATAGTTTTCACTATTATCCCCAGCCAATTTTTCAATGTTTAATGATAAGCCTGGGCCAGAATATGAAGGGGGGAAATTCACTGAAATTTTAACTTTTTATATATAGGTAAGTCTGGCAAAGTTTAATAGTCTGCATCATCTTTGAGAATTTTACACATTCCTCCTTGAAGTTATTTTCTTCTTGATTTTACACCATTGAGATACTTGTAGCATTTGTTCATACGTTCATATTTGTTAATGATGTGAATAGCTTTTATTAATATATTTTATGAATATATTATATCAAAGAATAACATATTTCCAAAAATAAAGAAAAATATATGGATGATGTAGCTATTTGCACTAACATTGACGCCTTGCATAACTAAATGGACCTATATAAAATACTATTTGCTAAGTTTTCATATACAGTATTATATAGTATTTTAGTAACTACTTTATGAAACCTTCACTGTATTAGTTTCATATAAATGATAATAAAAATACACTGAGGCTTATAACATGAGATGAAATAAATACATTTTTTTCTGTAAAATATCTTTTAAAATTTTTATCTGACTTTGAATTTATCTTCTATTTCAGATTAGTTCCTAAATATTACCAACATATTGTGGCCCTGGCATTTGCAGCTCAGGAGATCAATAAAAACCCAGAAATCTTATCCAATGTCACTCTTGGTTTCAACATCTATGACAGTTACTTCAATGCACAGAAAACATACCATTCCACAATGTTACTGATTTACAACATGAAGAGCATTTTTCCCAATTACATCTGTGATATTCAGAATTACTTGACTTCAATGATTGGGGGACTAGATGCCAAAACTTCCATTGACATTGCAAATCTCTTAGATATCTATAAGATCCCACAGGTAAAATTCAGAGCATACCTGACATTTTAGAACTTCTAGATTTCATATGGTAAATTAGAGGCAGAAATTGGGATTCTTCTAAATAATAATGTATCTTGTCTTAATCTAATCTTAACCCAATCTTAACCTAAGAAGAAACTTCCAAAGTATGAATGAAAAATATGCACTCTAATTAGATCACATGAAAATATTTCCACAGTCATTGGGGTATTAGAACTCTATAGTCCAAATACCAAAATCTTCTAGCATAGTATAGTCTCTCAAAGATATGTCACATAAATTTTGGTTAAGTGCATTACATTATTTTATAAATGAGTAAACAGATATAGAAGAATTTACAAAAAAAGGTGAATTGGGAGAAAGTACATTATATATCAATTACAGCTCCTGAAGAAAATAAATATTTTATTGATAAGTAGAGGTATTTTAATATAACCACAAATCAAATTTCTGCAGGAACAAGGGCCATTTTTAGATTCAATGCAGCTCAGTATTTTCCCTATTTAGAATGCTTCATGGATGTGAATGTGCAAACCAAACTCACAATAACAAAAGGAGAAGTGGTCTGATCTGGACATGCAAATTATAACTAGCCTTAGTTGCTCACAAAACTCTCTGACATATTTCTGTCATACAAAAAATACAACTGTCGAATATCACCTAACTCACATTTCCTGAAGTATAAATCAAATAGACATACAATAGGTTCCTCTCATGAAATATCATTCATTCACACATTCAATTGAAAGTGTTATACTACATTTAAAATTGTTCAGAATATGCTTATTTGTGAATGAAGAGTTTAGTTTGAGTATATATAAACTGCTGAAAAAAGCAGTCAGTGTTTTCTCTGAATTTAGCCACCTTTTTTTCCATTTTCTATTTTTTTTTCTCTATGAAGGTAAGGAGGATACTTTTTTGGACTCCTATCTCTGTAGCATGGGTTCGTGCTTTAGCAATCTTTTTTATCTTTCATTCTAATTTCAGCAATGCTAGCTTTTGCTCATTCACATAACGTTATCTGTCATTGCTCTATGAATGTATTATAATTTTTTTTTAAACTTGACACTGGCAATTAAATATGACTCTCACCATCTTTCCTTTGCTCTCAATCCTTATGCAGCTCATCTATGGTTCTAGTCCCATCATGAATTATAAAACACCAGGCCTTTTTTTCTTCCAGATGAGCCCACTGGAAAGACTTCAATATCAAGGGATTCTGTCTCTGCTTCTCCATTTCAGGTGGACATGGATTGGCATAGTTGTAATAGCCAATGAAAATGGAGAAAGAGTTATAGAAATGATTGTTCCATTATTGTCCCAACATAACATTTGTTTTTCATATATAGAGAGAATTGGTGAAGTAACGACAGTTCATGAAATCTTTGACTTGTTCAACCGTGGTGCAGAAATACATGATAATGTTATGGATAGCAATGCTAATGTTGCGATATTTTATGGAGAATCTTATACTATGGTTAGGCTAAGATGGATATCATATTTATCACGAAAAAACGTGCCAGATACTGTCAAAGGTAAAGTGTGGATATTTACAGCACAAATGGAGCTCAACTCACATGTATATCAGAGAAATTGGGATACTGAAATAATGAATGGTGCTCTGTCCTTCACAATTCATGCCAGTGACCCACCAGGATTCCAGTCATTTACTGAAAGTAGAAATCCTTCCATGACAGAAGATGGATTTATCAAGGATTTTTGGCGACAATCCTTTGCTTGTGCATTTAAAACTTCAAATGTAGATGAGGTAGCTGGTGATATTTGCACAGGAGAAGAGGAATTGGAAGATCTTCCTGTAACTTTTTTTGAAAAGAGGATGACTGGTCACAGCTACAGTATTTATAATTCTGTCTATGCAGCAGCACATGCATTGCATGCCATGATTTCATCCAGATCTGCTCAGCAATCCATGGCAAATAATGGAAGATTGAAGCTTCAAAATCAAGATTCATGGAAGGTAATGGACTGAATATGATCTTGAATAAAAACATTATTTGTAGAAAGGAAAATGAGGTCCATAATTTCAATTAAAAGAATTCATTTTTATCTCCTTTCCTATTTCTGGAAGGCATGCAAGGTTATCCAGTTTGATTAACCACATCATATCCTGATTGATTAACCTGTCACATCATAGACACACACTGTTTCTACTCCTTTCCTCAAGATTCTGCTATAGGGCATTGCCTGTTAAAGCAACTAGACAGAGGGACATTTTCCCCCTCATACCATCACTGCTGAACACCTAATTCATTCAATTAAGATCTTATTTCTATGTACCTACATAATTAAAATATTATGTTCTGTTCTATTCTGTTGTTCTGTTCTACTCTACTCTACCCTACCCTACCCTACTCTACTCTATTTTTTCTTAGATTCTTCCCCAAATTAAACACCACTTTATATCCTTTTATCTTTTCTTTTCCATCTAGCTGCACTCCTTTTTAAAAGGTCTGTCATTTAATAACAGTGCTGGAGATCTGGTTTCCATTGACTACAATGGAGAATTACTAGCTGGATACGATATACTGAACTGGATTGTTTCTTCTAATGACTCCTTCCATAGAGTTAAAGTTGGGAGGGTAAACCCTGCAGTTTTTTCAGATGAAATGTTCACCATAAATGAAGATGTCATAACCTGGCACAGTTGGTTTAACCAGGTGGGATCCTCCTCCTGTGAAATTTATACCAAATCTACTTTGTAGCTCTATGAATAAAATTAATAATTCAAACCTGATCAAATAAGAACATGTACTATAATGCAACCAATAATGTCTCCAAGTTGTTGCTTGAAATGGATTTCTTATGAAGTCTTTATTTACTATGATGAAAGAAAATATTTGATATAATTGTAGAAGCACCTTTCTTCAATGAGATTGACCTACCTTATTTGTTTCTGGCAGAAGGAGCCTTCTGCTAAGCAATCAGGCAAGAAATTTTAGCTGGTTGAAGAGTCTTTAGTGCCACAGCTCTCATCCTTTAGAACAGAGATGTCAAAACTTGTGTCATCATGGCAGCATCACATGACATATTGGGATTTTTCCCTCTTCGCTAAACTGAGTGGGGACGGGGCCAGCACGTGATGCATCTGGCCCAAGGGCCATGACTTTGTCAGCCTTGCTTTAGAACATCTTGGCCCAGGAAAGAAAATCTTCCCTCTCTTTTTTAGCCTTTAGGAAAAGCATTAAAATCTGGTATGGGGTCTTGAAAGAGAAGCTATTGGCTGGAGGTGATTGGTGCACTAATAGAGAAGGTACCCCTACTCCTCCTCTCCAATTGCTGGGGTTTTTAGTTAATTTTTATTCCTGTAATTTTAATCTGTTTTTATAGTTGTATAATTGTCAGATATTTGTGTGGCTTTTTTGTTGTAAGCTACTGAGAGCTGCTTTGAACTGTGAGATGGGTGACAAATACATTTGAAAGATAAGAAGATTGAAAAACAAACAGATATTTCATATTATTCTAAAAAACTAGAACTTGCTTTTCTATAGTATAAATTCCAATTTCATTATTAATGATGGCTTACAACAATACGTCATTATTATAGCCATTTATTTAAAATAGTTGCAGTTTTGTTTTTTAAATATTGTATCTCAGTATAAGGTCATTTCTCCCTAATTCTAGGTTTGATATATCTTTTATAATCTTCCATCTGTTATTTCTTGTGCTACCTTCAGATGCTTTGGAGAATATCAAAGTTTAACAGAAACTATGGAACAATTTTAAAAAGTTCAAAAAAGAAACCAAAAGTAATGCTGAATATTTTCTACTCGCTTCATGATGCCAATTGTTTATTCTGAAATTAGTGAATGTTTGTACATTGTATGTAATCATTGTATAGATTAGTAAATCATTTTACCAATGATAGCCAGTGTGATAGCTTCTTGAATACCTTATTCTAGTTTACCTTTAAAAACAGCCAGAAAATAGAACTTACACTGATATAAGAATTATGTACGTATGTATGTATGTATGTAAAGTGGGTTAAATAAGATTTTTGTTTTTGTTTTAAAGATTCAGTCATGACCAATTCTTGGCAACTTTATAAGCACAATTTCTTTCAATTGTTGGATGTTCATCTTTGCATCAGTTTTGATGTTATTAAGTCAACATGTTCTTTGCTTGCCCCTTCGTCTTGTTCCTTTAACCATTCCTAGCATCATTGATTTTTCGAGTCAATTTTCACACATGACATGTCAAGGTAAATTGGAAGGATTCTTTTGATTTTTGACATCTAATGATGTGCTTGTTTTATATGATTCAGCATCTCTCTATCGGTTGCTCTGTCCATGGTATATGAAATAATTTATGCCAGCACCACAGTTAACAGGTGTCCATTCTTCTTTAGCCGTTCTTAGTGTCTAACTCTCACACCCAGAAATCATTTTAAGAAAAGACTATTGTTTTAACTAGCTGCTTTTATATTTATATCAATAAATCTGCTCTTTCAGATTTTATTCATATTAACTTATTTATATTAAGCATTGTGACCTAAGGTGTATATCCTGTGTTTGATTTCCAGAGTAGAATTGATATTGTGAATAAATCTTGATCCAAGGAACATAAATTCTTGAACTAATTCAATTTCATCTTTGTTGATTTTAGACATTTCATGCTCATCTGCAGCTGTTGTCATTATCTTTGTTTTCCTGAGGTTAAGATTCAGTCCTACTTTTTCACTTTCATCCTTGATTTTCCATATGATTTCCCCGGTCTTCCTTATTTCCACTCAATAGTGTTGTCTCATTTGAGTACCTCAAATAATTTGTGGTTCTTCCTCCAGTCTTTACTCCAACATCAAACCATTCCAGATCTAATTTTCACATGATAAGTTCAGCATACAGATTGAGCAAAAACAGTGATAGAATATATCCCTGTCCAATTCTCTTGTTGAACCAATTCCTGTCACCATAATACTCTAACTCTTGCCTCATGATCAGTATACAGTGATCTGATGAGTCTGATGAGTGGCTTGGGATACCAACATCATGCAAAGCTGCCCATAGCTGAGACATAATCAAAAGCTTTTCTAGTTGAGACACATATAATATGTTTGATATTTGCATGCCTTTTCTATCATCCATCTATCATTGGCAGTGTGATTTCAATTGCTATGCCAGTTTCTTATAGCCAGCCTGTACATCAAGTAACTCTTGATTGATGACATTCAGTAGCCTATGTTTAATTATCTTTAGAAGAATCTTGTTTGAATGAGAAATCAATACAACTGTGCCATAGTCGGAACAGTCTGCTGTCTCACCTTTCTTTACTAGTGAGATAAAAACAGATCTTTTGCAGTCCTGATGCCATAGACATATAGATCATATCCCTTGACATAGGGCAGCTCCATCAATACCTAGATCTTTGCAGTTCAGCAATTTCTCCATGTCCCATTCTACTACTTCCTCCATAATATTAGGTTCATTATCAACTGGGTTATCATCGTTGTGATCTTGATAGTAAGTCAAATTACTACAGAGGCTTTCCATATATCTTTTCTGCCTGTTCTTGATCTTCTGCTGATCACTTAGTATATTCCTTAGTTGCAGGCTTTAACAGTTCCTTGACGTAGTGTAAAGCTGGATCACATCATTTTCACTAGAGGAAATATGATCTTAGAATGTCCCTTCTTGTTAGCTTCAATTGTTAGGTTTTCTGAAGGCTTTCATCCAACAACATCATAAAATCCCTGACTACCAAAAGGTAGCCCTTGCCTTTCTCTATAGCATGCAGGTTGTCCTCCAGCCTGGAGGGTCAACTGTTGCTATCCATATCTGAGTCATGTTGTCATAAAGAGTTCTATTGAGATTTTTTTACAGGTAGTTCACTATTGTTTTTCCTAGTAAGGTGGGCTAAAAGACCTAATTATGGCTAACAGTTCTATAGTTCACGTTTAATATCAAATACTCTGATCAAAGTTAGGTTTTGCACCATTGGCAGAAAGCAATTGCTGACAGTTGCTGAAGTGGCAGTAAGTATTTTTATGCATCTGGGAACAAGCCGACCCAGACAGGGAGGTTCCTGTTATCTTGCAAAAATATGTCCTGTGTTGTTTCTCTATATGTCACACATGATCTATAAGGCGCTGACCATGTTCATTCTTGGAATAGTAACTGTCAACCATCTGGCATAGACATTTCTTGGTTCCTCTTATTACCTTATATGCTTAGATACTGCCTCTACAGATATTGACGTAATTTGCACTATAAATGTATGTCTTTAAGAACCTTTCGGGGTTCAAACTTTTTATGCTTGTTTGGCATGTTTGAACCTGCGCATTCAATAAACTTTTCCTATATTGCATCGCTTGGCTTCGTTGTCTCTTCTTTCCACTACACTAGCATTACCCATTTATATGGGCTTGAGTATGGCATATATTTGATGAATCAATGAGAATGATGAATTAAACATTTTAATGCAACCAAAAATGGTCATTTAATCTGCAGTTCCTCTTTAAAAAATAGTTGCAAAGTGGAACACCATAGATGGTCATAATAACAGCTATTTATGTTTGGAAAGGCTAGACATCTGATGAATCTTTCTATAGACAACATTGTGCATAGTAGACGTGTGTCCACATAAGTAAAAGGCAGCATTTAAACTTTATACATTAAATGCATATTAACTTCATTGCAATTCCTTTGTTTGATGCTTATGAGCCATTGAGTTAGACAGCATACAAATTAAAAAATATATTGTTAATTACATCCTAACTCAGACTGATATGATACCTCTGAATTGTTCTTTTTGTTTGTTTGTTGCTTCTGCTTCAGTCCCAGCCTGTTTCTATATGCACTGGGAGTTGCCATCCTGGTACCAGCAAGAAAATCAAGGAAGGGCAGCCGTTTTGTTGCTATGACTGCATTCCATGCCCAGATGGGAAGGTTTCAGAGAAGGAGGGTAAGAAATATTATGACGGGCAATCTTCTCACATAATGGTTGCAGTTTCCAAATGCAACCTGATACATTTGAGGGCTCTTTTTGCCCAATATTTTGTGCAATATTTTGAATAGTATTGAGATACTGATGTATTAGGGCTTGCTGAAGAAAAATCAGATAATCTAGGTCAAATGCATAGATTATATGGAGAATTATATGATTACATAAAGAACTAAAATTCTAAAGATAATTTACATATTAATGTTTTGAAATCAAAATGCAGTATAACTGCCATTAAACAGATTGTTTTAATGGTTAGCCTTCTTGAAATCTCCAAACTAATATACAATTGTTTAATGAATAGAGAATAAAAATTCTAAATATTTTTAAAAGACATAAATATATTCTAGAGTTGATTTTCACGTCATTTTAATTTTCAGATACAAATGATTGTTACTTGTGTCCAGAAGGAAACTATCCAAACAAGAACCAGGATTCCTGTATTCCTAAAACTTTGACATTTCTGTCTTATGAGGAACCTCTGGGAATCAGTCTAGTCTTCTTTGTTCTTCTGTTTTCTTTGCTCTCAGTAATGGTGCTTATAATATTTTTGAAGAACCATAACACTCCCATTGTCATAGCTAATAGCCGAAATCTCACCTACATTCTCCTCATCTCCCTCCTGCTCTGCTTCCTTTCTGCATTCCTATTCATTGGTCATCCAGAGAAGATGGTATGTCTCCTGCAACAAATGACTTTTGGGGTTGTCTTTACAGTGGCTGTTTCATCAGTATTGGCAAAAACCATCACAGTGGTTCTAGCTTTCCAGGCCACCAAGCCAGGATCCAAGATGAGAATGTTTGTGGGGAAGAGACTGTCCAACTCCATTGTCATTTCCTGTTCTCTTATTCAAACAGGTATTTGCATAGCATGGCTAACAACTTCTCCTCCATTCCCAGACCAAGATATGGATTCAGTAGTTGAAGAAATTATTGTGCAGTGCAACCAAGGCTCTGTGACTATGTTCTACAGTGTCCTAAGCTATTTGGGCTTCTTGGCTGTTATTAGTTTCATAGTTGCCTTCATGGCGAGGAAATTACCTGATACTTTCAATGAAGCCAAGTTCATCACTTTCAGCATGTTGGTTTTTTGCAGTGTCTGGATATCCTTTGTTCCAACCTATTTGAGCACCAAGGGGAAATACATAGTGGCAGTGGAGATATTTTCCATCTTGGCCTCTAGTGCTGGTTTGCTGAGCTTCATCTTTCTTCCCAAATGTTATATAATTGTTATAAGGCCTGACTTGAACAGCAGGGAAAATTTAATGAAGAGAAAACAATTCTAATTTTGATTCATAATTTCCTTGGCTGTAGTTTAGTAACATTATATCATCTTTCTCCAGAGTCATAAGGCTGCTTTATCAATAGCTGCATTCCTGCTTTACATGTGCAGGTATTGCTGCTTCAGTTCACTATGCGAAATCAGAGCAAAATTTCTGCACATATGCATAAGGGAAGAGAGCAACCTGTGACAGAGACTTGCAAGGATAAAATTAGCGCTTTAGAAATTTCTCCTACTTATGCTCCTTTGTCCAAAACATTTCACCCAAAGAGCTTGCATACAGTAGCTATTTGCATGCAGTGGAATATAGTTTTTAAAATATTTCTTTATTAAATTAAAGTGATAGGAATTTTTGTATTCATATAATACTATTAATATAAAAATATACAGAAAGTATGTTATGGAAATTCTAAAGATTTAATGATTATAAAAACAAAGAATTCTGAAATAAATATGACCAAGCTGCTTCTTCTTCTGGCTCTTTATTGGGGAAAAAGAATAAATTTTAAAAAATATAAGTAACACATATTGACAATCTATTTGCTTTCATTATGGACTGTAGATGTATTATTCCATTGGGTGGTATTCATTCCTATGAGCATGTCCAGTTTCTTAAGATCTTGGTTAATTCTTATTCCTGACATTGTACCAAAAGGCACATATGGTGTTTTGGCTAACAATGATCATCCTCAACATATATTCACAATATGGTTTTTGGCCCTGAATATAGCAATAGAATGATATAAATAGAATGATATAATTTTCTCATATCTGTATTTCACTTCTTAGAAATTGCAACTAATTCTTATTCAACATTCTTTTATATAAAAAAATAAATATTACATGTTTTTCGTTGAATTTATATAAATGAACTGAGCCAGTTTGGTCTAGTGGTTAAGAGATCAGACTAGAAAGCAAGAGACCACAGGTTCAAATCCCAGCTTAGCCCTGAAAGCCAATTTGGGGATCATTGTCTTTTGTTCCAACCCACCTCACTGGGCTATTGTCTTAAGAAATAGAAGGTTTGTTGGATATGTTTGTCCCCTTGAAGATCTGGCTCTTCTAACAATTACTGCAGCAGACTGAGGCTAGAGCAAGTTTGTAGCTGATGTATGAAAAAGTGTTTTTATGTTTGTTTATTTTTTTTGTTTGTTCTTTTCCCCTCGTTTTTAATGTTTTGTGAACCAACCAGTATCATGATCCATAATATAGGCAGCTATATAGGTCTTTTAAATAGATATGTTTACAATATTTTAATCATTAAAAGGCCAACATTCTATCTGCAGCCCAATATTTTCTTTATCTGTCATATGGCACTATGAACAAGGATTAAAATTAATTCTCCAAGAGAAATACATGGTGGCAATGGAAAAATATCCCATTCTGGCCTCTAGGGTTCAATTGCTGGTTGCATTTTTCTGTTAAATGTTATGTAATTGTGTTGATGCCCAATGCGAACAACAGGAATCACCTAATGAACAGAAGGAAATTATGATGTTAACAAATGACTTTCTTGTACTTTGTGATAAAGCAGTTGTTTTATGGCTACTAAGGCAACCTTCGAAACGGTTCTTTCAACACTTAGCATCATATATGAAAGTCAACACTTCTATAATTGGGGTCACATAATTGCTTTGGAAAATACCTGCACATTACTGTTTGTCAGGCTTTGCAACATGAAGCGTAAAGTGAGTATTCCTGGGCAAACACATTGTGAAGGTCTTCAGAAGCTTGGGAAATCTCTGTAGTTTATGGATCTACTTATGTACTAAAATGATTTTAAAAGCTATATCAAAACTTAATAAGAATAATATTCTGTAAGTAACCTACTCCTCCACCCAGATTTGTCTGCAATGTTTAATTTAGTATTATCTGTTGCTATCTGATGATCAGATTTTAATGGCTGAAATAGTTACATATATATATCCATAGATATCAATCATATTCACTTTGGGGTATTAAACAAACCAGAATTCTACAAATTGCCAAAATTTAATTAATTAAATTATATTATCTGACAAGGCAAACAATGTCAGATGGTTAAAGTAAATATTGAAGTTGAGATATATTAATATATTTGAAATAATTTAATACTTCAATCTGAGCTGTTATTTGTATCACCATATATTTATATTCTCTATTTTCTGTTTTGGCTTCTGATTTCTAGCCACATATAGATTTTATATACTTTATAGAAGTCCAATTCCTCTCTTTCTTTTAGTTCTATTGTCATTTTATCCATTTCTGCGTATTTGAGTATATTCCGGATTATAGTTTCATCTGAGGGTGTATTGATTTTTTCCCACTTTTGTGCGAAGGCAGTCCTGGCTACAGGGAGTATGTGTATGATTATGTATTGAGATTGTTTATCCATTTTTTTGTCTAGTAATCCTAATAAGAATGCTTCTGGTTTGAGTTCTATTTTTCTTCCAACCATTTCCAAATTTTGCATCACTACTTCCTTGTGATGGGGTATGTCCACCACATATGATAAAATGTTCCAGGCTTGTGGCTGCATCTCCAACATTTGGGGGATAAATTTGAGTACATTTTGGCCAATCTCACAGGAGGCAAATCTATAAAAAAAAATTATAGAGATTTTTCTCTGTAAGCTACTGCTATCGTAAATTTATTATTTTTTCCCCATAGTTTATAACATTTTTCTAACTCTATATTATGAACAAAATTTCTTCCACGGCTTCCACTTGAGAGACCGCCTGCTGCCAATTACCTCCCAAAGACCCGTTAGATCACACAGGGTCGGCCTCCTCCGGGTTCCGTCTACCAGCCAATGCCANTTAGGGTGCTGAGTGCTTCGGAAGGCGCGGATTTGCCCTCCGCGATTATGTCATCGCGGTAGGGTCGTGTTTTTCCTTAGCGCTTTGAACAGCGTGGATTAGCCCTTCGCGCTTATCTCTCCGCGGATAAGGGCTTCGCGGTATTGTGGTGGAACCGTAACTACCTTATTCATCCTGAAATATATAAGGATATTTAGCAATAACAATAGCACTTTCATTTATATAGTGCTTCTCAATACTCTCTAAGTCAGCGGTTCTTAACCTGTGAGTTGCGACCGCTTTGGGGGTCATGTGACCCTTTCACAGAGATCACATAAGACACGGGCACATGCTGTCCTCTTCTCTCTGACAGCCACCTGGCTAAACAGCCATCCCCCGTGGCATTTTTCCCTGGGGGGCTCCGCAGAACATCCTAAGATCGATGCTGCCACATCTGCCCTCTTCGGGACAGGTCCTCTCCAGAAGGACGAAGCCCTCCTGCTCCTCTTCGTGTTCCTCGCCTTCCAGCCTCGGCCCCATGCTGTGGAAAACATAGGCACGCACACTCCCCGCACAATTACCGCCCGGAGCAGGACCAAAGCCCCTCTCCCAACTGGCCCTTCCTCCCTCAGAGGCTTTGGGGGGAAGCTTCTGCAAAAGCCCAAGTGAGTGAGAACAGGTTCCCACCATTGCGAAGTCTCTGAGGCTGTAATTGTATGGGGTGTGTGCACGTACCTAGGTTTTCCACAGCGTGGAACTGGGCTGAGGCTCTGGGTGGCTGGTGATGACTCTGGAGCCCATCTGCAGGGGGCGGGGTCCCCCTCGTACTCCTCATCTTCCCAGATGGGCTCCAGAGTCATCGCTGGCTGTGTAGAGCCCCGGGAGGCTCCATGCCATGGAAAACATAGTCGCGCGCAATCCCACACACACACACATACACAATTACAGCCTCAGAGTCTTCATTAATGGCAGGAACTTGTTCTCACATGCCCGGACTTCTGCAGAAGCTTCCCTCCAAAGCCCTCCAAGGTAGGAAGGGCCAGTTGGGAGAGGGGCTTTGGTCCTGCTCTGGGATGTAATTGTGTGGGGTGTGTGTGCATCTATGTTTTCTATGGTGTGGGGCCATGGCTGCAAGATGAGGAATGCGAGGGGACCAGCGGCGCCTCCTCCTTCTGAAGAAGACCTGTCCCCGAAGAGGGGAGATGTGGTGGCATCCGTCTTGGGATGTTCTGCAGAGCCCCCCAGGGAAAAATGCTGCTGTCAGGTACTTTTAACCTATGTTTTGGTCCTGTAACTGCAGAATGCTGCAAAAATCTTAAATGCAGGCCAGTTGTTGAGTGTTTCAAACGTGATTGGAACACTCAACAAGGTGACCACAGTATGTGTGTCTTTGTGTGTGTGTGAGTGAGTGAGTGAGAGAGTGAGTTAGAGAGAGGGGGGAGGGAGGGAGGGAATCAGAGACAGAGAGAGACAGTGAGTGAGACAGAGAGGGGGAGGAAGAGAGAGACAGATAGACAGAGAGAGACAGAGAGAGAGAGAGAGAAAAACACACACAGAGAGTGACAGAGATGGGGGAGGGAGGAGAGAGAGACAGAGTGAGTGAGAGAGAGAGAGAGAGGCAGACAGACAGACAGAGTGACAGATAGAGACAGAGGGAGGGAGGGAGAGAGAGAGATAAGGAACCACAGAGAGAGAGGGAGAGACAGAAAAAGAGAGAGAAAGAAATGAAGAAAGAAAGAAAGAAAAAAGAAAAAGAAAGAAAAAGTTGGAGAGAGAGAAAAAAGAGAAAGAAAGAAAAAGAAAGATAACTTATGACTACAATTGAGCCCAAAATTTTGGTTGCTAAGCAAGAGCATCATTAAGTGAGTTTTACACCACATTTTGTGCAATTGTGCAACAAGTTGGATGTGCCGAACAATTCTCTGCCATTTCATATTGCGCATACTGTCACAAAATGTAGCAATGTAATTTACTGTTGTTATATTAATACTGTTACCCATGCTACATCATGCCTCAAGACAAAATTTCATTTATTTGTAATTAGAAATAAATATTTCACAATATATAATTACATATTGTTTTTGTGATTAATCACTATGTTTTAATTACAGTATGTTCAATTTGTAATAATGAAAATACATCTTGCATATCAGATATTTACATTACAATTCATAACAGTAGCAAAATTACATTTGTGAAGTAGCAACGAAAATTATAATTTTATGGT